GCTCACCAGCTGCTCCTCAGAAACTCTATACAGGGTCGCTATGGGTCAGACTCGATGGCACTTAGCAACAACAAGCTACATATTGGAGACCTGGTGTGGCACTGTAGAATAAGCACTGAAAACCACAAGGTTGATTTATACTGCAAGATCAGCAGTTTAAACTCATCAGCCTCTTCTTGGGAACCCTTGACAGAGTCGCTATGAGTCACAACCGACTCTACAGCACTTAACAACAACTATGTATTAATTCTAAGGACAAGAAATTAAAACAGAGGTTCCCAATCACCTTGGGAATCTTTAAAAATAGATCCCTGGGTCCCACCATTAAATTTTGATAGAATAATTCCACTGTGGTTGACGCTCTTGAGTGAACAGGATAAAACTGCCCTTAGGGTTTCTGAGGCTGTAAATCTTTACCAGAGGGGAAAACCTTATCTTTCTCCTGAGGCATAGTGGTGGATATAAACTCCTGACCTTGTGACTAGTTTATACTGCAGCACCACTGGTATTTCTTTAGTTTTGTTGTATTGTTATTCTGTTGTCAGCCAGTTCTGACCCATAGCTACAATGTATAGGGTAGGTGTGAACTGCTGGTAGGTGTGAACTGTAGACCTTGCAGATAGTGCCTATCTTACAGTGCTATACCAGGGGTCTTAGTTTTGGACTAAAGCTTTATAATTGTTGTTGTTAAGTGCCATCAAGTTGATTCTGACCAATAGTGACCCTGGATAGGGTTTCCGAGGAGAAGCTGGTGAGATTGAACCACTAACCTTGCAGTTCAAATGGCTTTGCAGACTGACGCATTAACCCACAGCACCACACCAGGACTCCAAAGGCTGTATAATTAGTACTTGTTAAATTAGGACTTTCAGATGATTCTGTGGCATAGCCACAGTTACTTAAACAGTGCCTATGTATTCCACAAAAACAGAATCACTAGCTTCTGAAATAATCAAGATTGTTTGTTTAAAGAAAATAATTTGTATTTCTGAAATTTTATAACGGTGGACAGGATATTGAATCTTTTTCTGTAAGGTAAAGGCTCCTCCTCAATGATTAGGATTTATTGGAATTTCTTGAAGTCTTACTTGATAATTCTTCAAATTGATTTAGCCCTTTGTTTCAGGTTTGTTGGTATTCCTAATTGGAGGAAACACAGTTGAAAGTGGTACTCTTCATTTGGTCAGAAACCTTACTAGTGATAAAATGTTTTCTCTCAAAGTGTTGTCAGGGTTTTGGGAAAATAGACTACAGTTTTTCCTTATGTTGGCTGTAGTAGAGCATCACTTTCAAATATAAATTGAATTTCTTTTTCCTTATAAGAAAATATAAAACTGGACTTTAATTTTAAAGCTAAGAAATTTGACTTAGATGATGTAAAGCATTTCAGCAGGCGTTTTTTCTGTTAGTTGGCATTTCAGTTTGACAAGTATTATTAGTTACAAAGGATGATATTAGTGTTAATACAAGCAATAATACAAAAAACACAAAATTAAAAATCATGATCTCTGAAATCATACATTAATTAAAACGACTTTGAAATGTTGATTCTATGTAGTAAAAATCAGGTGTATTTGAAAAGACAATTAATTTTTTAATGTGTTTTCTTTATTTAGCAGTTAGGAATTCAAGAATTATTTCCTCAAGGTCATAGCTGTGCTGTTTGTGGTAAAGTAAAATGTAAACGACATAGGTAAGTTAAACATGTTTAATTTGTTGATCTTTCTGATTACAGTTTGGATTTCAAGTGACTTAATTTTATGATTTTCTTTAGACCTGCCTTGCTACTTGAAAACTATCAGCCATGGCTAGACCTGAAGATTTCTTCCAAGGTCGATGCATCTCTCTCAGAGGTAGCTAAGTATACCCAAATAGAAAATTTTGTATACTTATGGAAACTTTTTCAAGATGTTTCTATTAGATTATTGAATCATTGGGCATCTCAACATATGCCACCTAACTGGAGAGTCAACTTAAATGGCATGCTAAAAATGTTTTTAGATCACGTGTTTAATTCAAATGGACATTCTAGTCAAGTAAAGCACTGTTTTATCTGGTTGCTGCTTGCTTTTGTTGTTGTTGTTAAGTGCCGTCTAGTTGATTCCGACCCATAACGATCCTGTATAGGTTTTCCGAGGAGCAGCTGTTTACTTACTTCCAATAAAAAGTCATTTTTATGATGTTGTTGTTAAGTGCTGTCAAGTCGGTCCCGACTCATAGTGACTCTATATAGGGTTTTTGAGGAGCAGCTGGTGAGCTTGAACTACTGACCTTGCAGTTCAAACTGACCTTGCAGTCCAGTGAATTAACCCACAGCTCCTGCAGTAGAAATCTACATTTTGTTACTTCAAAAGGATTCTTGACTGCAAGGAGCAAATATATAATATTTTTTACAAAATGATGACCACAACTTTTATACTACCTAAAGGGGATGGGATCATTTATATAACTCTCTGTAATATAGGAATTGAAAGCATATTCCTGTTATGTTTTATATGTAACCTTTTTTGGTAACACATCAAATGCTTTAGTTATTTGTTTTAGCAAGTTGTCTTCTCCATCAGTCTTGGAAAGCAGCCAAGTCCCTGAAGGACTTGTTCCATCTCATTTGTTCCCCACACCAAACATGGGGCTATATATACTAGGGAGCTTCAAAAAGTTCTTGTAAAAATTCCCTTGTCTTTCAATTCCAATTTTCCACAAGCGTTTTGAAAGTAGTCGGTAGATTTTTACTGAGTTTAATTAAATGCTAATATAGTTGAAGAAGGAGCTGTGGTAGCATAGTGGTTACGAATCGGGTTGCTAACCTCAGGATCAGCAGTTTGAAACTACCAGCTATTCTGCTGGAGAAAGATGAGGCTTCCTGCTCCCGTAAAGATTTACAGCCTTGGAAACCCTGTACGGGGTTGCTATGATTCAGAACCGACTCCACAGCACATAGCCACAACAACAATATAGTTGAAGAGTAGCGTTAAGCATCTGAATCCTACTTTATTTTCCATTGTTCCCAGTGTGTAAACTTCTTTGGCTAAGGGTTGTTGTTCTTGTTAGATGCTATTGAGTCCATTTCAACTCACATCAACCCCATATAAAGTTTTCAAGGCTGGAAATCTTAGCTGGAGTAGAAAGCCTCATTTTTCTCTCATGAAGTGGCTGGTGGGTTTGAACTGCCAACCAGCCTGAACAAAATGCCATTCAAACTTTTGGTCCTTTTCTTTTTCTTTCTTTTTAATAAATTGTGGTTTGGGTTAAAATTTAGTGAGCAAAGTAGTTTTCTATTCAAGAGTTTATACACATTTACTTTGAGGACTTTAGCTGTAATCTTTCAATGTAACAACACTCTTCCCACTGATTGCTGGGTTTCTCATTTCCCTTAGTCCTTCTTTCCTGCCTTCTGAGCATTGCTTTTGAGCAAATGCTGCCCTTTTGGTCTGCTTGATTGTTTTGAGGAGTGCATTTCTTGTGGACTTTATTGTTCATTTTATAGGTCTGTTATTTGGCTGCAGGGTGATCTCTGGTGTGAATTCAGTCTGGGTTTGAAGGGTGTCTAAGGTTATAATCTGGGTGAATCTACCAGTTTCTACCAATCTAGTAAGTCTGATTTTTTTGTTTTATGATTTTGAGTTTTGTTGTACATTTTTCTCTCACTTTGTCTAGAACCTTCAGTTGTGATCCTGATCAGAACAGGTGGGTTAGGTAGCTATACACCATCTAGTTCATCTTAGAAGAGTAGTAGAGGCTGGGTTTTGTGAGGTCCATTAGTTCTTTTGACTAATTCTTTCCTTGCATCTTTGATTTTCTCCACTCCTTTTTGCTCTGGACAAGGAGTAACCAATAATTGCATCTTAGATTGCCAATGACAAGCTTTTAAGATCCCAGTGTCTACTTACCAAAGTAGATTGTAGAGCATTGTCTTTGTGGATGGATGATGTTATGCTAATTGAACTTGATGTCCCCTGAGACTGAGGTCCTGAACCTCCAGGCCCCATAACTCATTCCTTCAAGGTATTGGTTATATCTAAGAAGTTTTAATAAGTTTGAGCATAGTTAATATTTGCAGCACATACATACAAATACAAGGGGGTGTCAAAAATGGAATCAAAAGATAAGGGAATCTCTCCACAACTTTTTGAAGCCCCCCTTGACCATTTGAGGGTAAATTAGAAAATATTGCTACTAGAGTTCCAGTTCATACATGCATGGGTTTCTTCCAAACAAAATGTGTTTGAGCATGCCTCTGATCAGTGGGTGGCTGTGGACAAGTTCTCTCTGTAATACATTTGTCTTAGTCTCCTTAGGGTGCCTTCAAAAAAAGAAGGTCCCATCAAAACAGTGACTTCTGAGTTCAGTTGAATGCAGAGATGTCAGCTCAGAATGTTATGGTGATTCTTTTTTGATATTCTAAAGGGATAATATTGATAGATTTTCTTGATGGGTGAAGGATAATGGTAAGGCCTTATTATGAAGACGTTTAAAAAAATTAGAAACTGCATTGTTGAGAAAAAGGCCAGGAAAGTTGTGCTGAGGAATTGTTTTCCTTCGCTTCAATGCACTTGTTCTTTCTTTCCATCACAACCATGTACCCGTTCGTTCTTCTAGATTAGGTAGAGCTGTTCTGCGATACTGCCCTTGGGAAACCTTATCCCATCCATCTTTCAGCCCTAGTTTTTTTCCATTAGACTTCTTGTTTCCCAAACTCAAACATTTCAAAGGAACAAGATTTGAGTTCCTCAAGGAGTTCCTAGAGGTGAATGGATATATCCTTTTCCTAGAGGTGAAAAGTGTTTATATGTCTGGTACAGTGATAGACATATATACCAGTGAAACAGAACATACACACCCATAGATTTATGCACCAACTGCAGCAGGTGGGGTTGAACTGCAAACCTTGTGTTTTGCAGTCCAGTGCTGATCCTACAGCGCCACACCAGTAGTCCTCTATTTTATTTTTATCGTCGTAAATTTAAAACAATCAATTATATATTGATAACATCTTGATCCCTCTATTTGGAAGTTCAGTAACTACATCATTTATTTCCTCCTTTTACTTTATAGTTTTCATCACTTACAGATCGATGTCTTTGGTTCCCAGTTTTAAGTATTGTAGGTTTATCTTTGAACATTTTTTTTAATCTGGTTTGGTTTCTGGATGATGTTGTCATTTGCCTTAATCTTCTACTATTTTCTGATATTGTTGGTTCTTTGTCTGAATGACTCCCTTTAGCATTTCTTGTAAGGTTGACTTTATTTTCACAAATCACTTCATTTCTGTTTATCTTTCAGTGCACTAATTTTGCCATCATATTTGGGGGACAGTTTTGCTCGATATACAATTCTTGGTTGACAATATTTTCTTTCAGAGTTTTATGTATATCATCCCAGTTCCTTCTTTTTCTGCATTGTTTGCTCTGAAAAATCGGGACAGTCAGTTTTTAAAAAATGTCATCAGGAACAGTATAATTATGTTATTGTGTGTATAGTAGTTTGTTACACTAAAATGTGACGTGCCTGGCACTTTAGTAATGAACTTCTTGCAGCTTATCCACATAGTCTCCATTTCCTCTTCCTCACATCTGCTGTCACTGGTAGGTATGATGCATGCTGCAGTGTGGTTGACCCTTGCTATTGGGACCAACCTGGAATAAGACTTCATCTGGGCCAGAGCCTAGTTCTTAAGCTGATCACTGCTGGATGCAGCACTCAAGGGGCAATGGTTTTTTATCATTAACAGCAAATAATTAGACTCTCTGGACCTCATTGGCTTTGGAAGCATCTACCAATTTGGACCAAGGAGCTATTGTGGTATAGTGGGTTAGGCGTTGAACTGCTAACCACAAGGTCAGCAGTTCGAATCCACTTGCTGCTCTGTGAGAGGAAGTGAGGCTTTCTGCTACCGTAAAGATTTACAACCTCAGAAATCCTATACAGGGTTGTTGTGAGTCAGAACTTACTAGAATTGCACACAACCACTACCAAGTTGAACCAGTCCAAATATGCAGAAGCATCAAGCAAGGACATCAGGCTAGAAGTCAAGCATGGGCTGCCTTCAGGTCTCTTGAATATTGGTGAGAAAGCTGTCTGAGGCTGAAAGCTCTCCATGGAATGACTTCATCCCTAATGTATAAGAAAGTTTAGCGGAAGAGACCTGGAGCAAGAAAGGTAGGTGCTACTGAAGGGGAAATCTCTGCACAGAGCTTATTCCAGAAGTGAAGGCCTTGAGGTAAAGAAGTACTTTGTCTGGTCACTGTAAATATTCTCCTCTGACAGCATTCTGTACAAGGCCTGTCTTGAGGTAGGGATGGTAGGGAAAATCATAGTTTAGTCTTACTGGTTCATCATTGTAGACAACATTTTGTTTTTCCCGAATTTCTCTGAGGATTACTTCTTTCTTTGGTCTTGGAAAGGGTGATCTTGATATGCCTTGGTGATTTTTTTTTGTTGTTGTTGTTGTTGTTGTTGTTAGGTCTGCCGAGTCAGTTCTGACTCTTAGGGACCCTATGCACAACAGAATGAAACACGGCTTAGTCCTGCACCATCCTCACATTTGGTACATTTGAGCCCATTGCTGGTGCAACTGTGTCAGTCTATCTCATTGTGGGTCTTCCTCTTTTTCACCAAGAATGATGTCTTTCTCCAGGGACTGGTCTCTCCTGATACCATGTGCCAATTATGAGGGATGAAATTTTGCCATCCTGGCTTCCAAGGAGTACTCTAGGTATACTTCTTCCAGAACAGATTTGTTTGTTCTTCTGGTAGTCCATGGTGCTTTTAATATTCTCTCCAAAACCATGACTTAAATGTATCAGTTCTTCTATGGTCTTCCTTATTCATTCTCCAAATTTCACATGCGTAT